ATGGTTTTTTAAAAAACAAGCTTATAAAGAAAATGTGCTTATATAGGAGGTGACTATAGAGAGGTTTGACTGTATTTACCCAATTAATAAGTTTAAAACCTATATAAAAGATAGCAAACTTAAAGTATATGGGTTAACTCAAAATACAGTTAATAATGAGTATATGATGATATTTAATGGATTTAATTCTAAAAGAGACGAGGGTAATGGAGTATGCAAATATTGTGAACGATATAACACATCGCCAGCTTGGTGGCAGACATGAGATCCTCCTGAAGCAACGCAAGGATGGACAAGCAGAAATAAGGATATTGATGATTGTATCAAAAATTTTCAACTTAAAGCTACAGAATATGAGAATGTGATTGAGTGGATTTCTTTTAATAGATTGGATAATATTCAAAAGAATGGGATGAATTTTTGCACCTTGTTTAGATGACGTACGAATGATTTCTAAGGGTACACACTGGAATGAATGCACACAGTCACGTACGCTACCATATATAATTACTCTTAAAACATTGCATAGTTCTCAAGATTTAATAGATCTGTTGGAAGATTAAATATAAGTATAAATTTGTTTATCATTAAGTTATGTACTTTATTTTTAAATACTTATATTTACCCAATTAATAAGTTTAGAAACCATATAAAAGATAACGAACCTAAAGTATATGAGCTAGCTCAAAATACAGTTAATAATGAGTACAGTCAAACCTCTCTATAGTCACACCCACAGGATACAAAAAAGCGTGATTATAGAGAAGTGTGCTAATTATAGAGGTCAAATTTATTATATTTAATAATGGATGGTTTTTTAAAAAACAAGCTTATAAAGAAAATGTGCTTATATAGGAGGTGACTATAGAGAGGTTTGACTGTATATGATGATATTTGATAGATTTAATTCTAAAAGAGACAAGGGTAATGGAGTATGTAAATATTGCAAACGATATAACACATCGCCAGCTTGGTGTCAGACATGAGATCCTCATGAAGCAACGCAAGGATGGACAAGCAGCAATAAGGATATTGATGATTGCATTAAAGAATTTCAGCTTAAATCTACAGAATATGAGAACGTGATTGAGTGGATTCCGTTTAGAAGATTAGATAACATTCAAAAGATTAGAGATGATAAATTTGGTCATGTATACCAAGCAACCTGGTTAGATATTACTCACTCTACTATTACGACGATATCAACACAATTTCATTTATTAATTTTCTTAGAATGGATCTTTTGCAGTATAGGTGACATCAGGAAATTTTTAAATTGGTTTGCAATCGATTGACAGAAAGAAATGTCAATCGATAAGCAGCACCCCTGTCGATTACCAGCGATACTGATTAGCAACAAAGCTGCTAATTAAAATCGATTAGAATCGCTTTGATTGAAGTCGATTGATATCAAAACTAAATTAAAATCGATTATTTTTTAATCAATTGTGTATCGATTAGCTACCAATATCGATTGTCAATTTTCCTAATCGATGGCAATCACCTCTGCAGCTGGTAATGATATCCACCCTATTTAAAAATTTCCTGATGGAGACTATTAATAAAAAGTATAATTATTGCGCTTTCAAAAAGATGTGAACATAACAGATCATTTTTTCATGTGAGAATCGGAGATTTTATAGATTTTTTGAGATTTTAAGAATTAAACAGATTTCAAAGAAATATAAACGTAACCGATCGAAAATATAAAGTAATAGACAGTCTGGAATCTTAGTGATTCTCAGCCATCACCATCACTAAAATCACATGTTCACATCTTTTTGCAAAGCGCTATAATCAATTGATTTAGAATAGGTATCACCTATATTGCAAGAGATCCCTTAGAATATATCTTTGTTTCATTCAAATTGTCATTCTGTGAATTTAATAGTTAAAGTTCTTTGAATTTATTTCTAGCATAACTATCAAATAGGGAATGCTCGGATTATGCTGGGCGGGTTTAGTCCAGGATAGTTAACATCTCTTTGTACAATTCTCATTTTATAATTATCTACATATTCTAGAAGTTCTTTCCGAATTGATAATAAGTTGCTTAAAATATAAAAGATTATTTCAATTACAAGAATTGAAAGAATTATTTTAAAAAATTCAAAAAATTCAAAAAAGTTTTTATTATAAATAATCAACCAACAAGTTATAAACATATACAATTTTTAACATGCAGTAGAAGGCATTTGCATTATATCTATTTCACTTTTTCTTAATGTCTTATTGTTTCAAATTCTTATTCTGTATTGCTTCGATTTCAACCCATCCAAGTGACTTATATCTATGCTTAGATATCGTGGATAGAAATTACTTCACAATATTCTAAATGGAATTAAAAGATTTAACATGATGAAAAGAGAAAAAATCACAATCAAAAAAACTCGAAAAAGGCGTTCTTTATTAAAACCATTGAATATATTGTAAACAGAACATGGAGTTGTTGAAAATAATTAGAATTTAACACATTTAACATTAAAATTTAATTAATTGTGTCTATAATACTGTATAGTCGCGAAATGACGCGTAGGGGCGTGTTATTTTGAGACCTCCACGTACGTATGTCATTTTGAAACAAAGGGTCAAAATTTTGAACGTAATGTACACATATCAAATCCGCTGATGCATATACAAAATGGCTGTTATTTTGGGACGCCTGATTTTATTTTAAACCAAAATATGATGTTTTAAAGTGTGCAGTTTCTGGAATAACACTCATAAGCGTTATTTTGCGATTTTACGAGAATAAAAATTCTAAGAATGTTATTAACAAGAAAATTTAACGTACAGTCTTTGAATGAATTAATAATGAATTGGGTATTTACAGAACAAGAACTAAACAACTCACAAAATATGTTAAGATTCTTTGTACTTAGATAAATCCTATAATTTGCATTCAAAAACGAAAAGCTTAAATAATAATAAATCTCACTTGAAAAGTTATAATTAAATAAACATAATCTTTATAACAATAATGATAATAGTTTCGCTTGAAAATTCATAAGCATATATATTTAAATTGTAATGATGTTACCGAGCGGTAATCAAAATTTTAAGTGTCAATAGTAAATGGTTTTGTTCTACTGGAGAGGTTGGTTGTATAAACTCCATTCATTAAAATAAACCTGTTAGTAATAATAAATTCTAATTATATAATAAATTTTTTTCAAGCTTTTTTGATAGCAAGTTCTCGGACATTATAAAAATCGAAATTTCATCACGATATTCCTATAAATATTAATGTTATATTTAAAAAAGAGTGCTATTTAATTAATGTAATAGATTTGAGATCCCTTTTTAACCTATTAATCCCAATTATATTCCTATTCACCAAAAAAAAAAAAAAAGAAAAAAAAATAACAAATCAATAAAATATATCAAAAATTTTTTTCATCAGCACGCGATGGCTATAAATAATAATTATCCTGATATAAAAAAAAAACTCTGTCGAATGTATATATTCTAATACAAAGTAGAAATTTACAATTTTAAAAAACATACTAAACAATAGATGAACAAAAGTTAGAATCTGTTAAATTTGTAAAAAAAAAAAAAAAGCAAAAAAAAACTTTTACTTACTGGAAGTAATTTCCATTTGACGACTTGACAATAATTATCCCAATACTTTCCGTACTTTCCTCGACATCGTGCGTCGTCCCGGTAAATACGATGAATTAAAAGTATAAACATATAAATGATATAAAAATATGGTAACAAATGGTCAAACCCACAAGCTAAGCACATTGCCGATGAAATAAGCAAGTCACCAACATAATTGAAATGACGTGATATGCCTATAAGAAAAATATATAAAAAAAACATTAATATACACAAATAATAATAATAATAAAATAATAGGACTATAATGATAAAATTATAAATATCAGATACCCCAAAAACCACTGGTTAATAAAATACTACTGTGCTCTTTTCCATCACTTGTAACAAAATGTGTTTTAATAAATTGTGCAGGCTTGCCCCATATAATACAGTCACCGTTCCTTCGACGAACAATATCTTTTTGGTGATTGACTGCTCGGAAAATATAATATCCAGACAATCCAATTGTGAGCACAAGTAGAAAATAAGGAATAGAGAGATCAATAGTGTTGCGAACCAAATAATGAGACTGGACAGTATACTGTATAAAAATATAATAATTCAATTAATGAATTTTAATTAACAAAAAAATATAAGGAAAAATTACCATCCAAGGAAGCCAAACAGTATCACCCCATGCCAAATAGAATCCAAAATGATCATGTGCAATATCTAAAAATATTAATGAAAAATCAATTATTCGAATAGTAATAAATGTATAAAACCAATAAAATATTAATTACCAATTGTTCTTAGGTACCAATCTTCATTATAAAAAAAATCTAGCACATAAACGGCATGCAAAAAGTTTAACAAAATCATGGAATTTGTTACATATCCTTCAATAAAATAGAAAATGTTAAAATAATTTACTTATATAATTCTTAGACAAAGTTAAATAATAATTCATTATAAATAATATTTACCGATTTTATTATATTGAGCTGCGGCAAATGACAAATTTATTAAAGTCCAAGCAATAATTCCAGGTCTTCCATTATGAAATAATTTAAAATCCCAATATTTTCCAAAACGCGGATTCATTTCAATACCCATTAATAAATCATAAATGAAGCTTCCTGAAAATTTACGATCTTCTGGATGCGAAGGCATGATATATGCCTTTGCAAATACAAAGAATGTAAGAAAATATCCATAAATATTGGCGGCAATGAGAAGAGCTCCCCAATTATCATGGATTATAGATCCTTCCCACCAATTGAAATAGAATGCTCCCGCAAGAAAAAGAATATGAGTAATAAACCAAGCTAGTAATCCATTTACCTAATAATAATAATAATAATAATAATAATAATAATAATAATAATAATAATAATAAATTAAAAAAAAGAATAAAATAAAAAATAAAAGCATTAAGGCAAAGTAAAGTTAGTTTTTTGGTTCTCATAACACTGCCAGGTCAAAACTTAAAAAAAAAAAAAAATATTTATATTTACTATTCGAATGGATTGTTTTTAAAAATCAAGACAACCATTTTTATATGTAAATTTTTGAATATAAAATTAAAAGTCGAATGCCGGGTCACTTTTGGTAAAAATTTTATGATATGAGAACCAAAACATAGCTTTGTATAGCCTAATACACGCATTAAAAAAAAAAAACAACTTTTTTTTCGAAATATTTTTTCAAACCGTACTTTATAAGGTAAAATATGTCCTGCTGGCGTTCTTTGACCATATCCTATTTTTGCCGGCAATATTGCGTAAATAATTGCCTGAAAGCTTAACCATATTGCATATATTTTTATTCCCTCCCATGTAAATTGAGGAAGTTTTTGTAATACTACGGAATCAAAAGCTTTTTCGGAAAATCCACTTATTTGTAGACGATAGATAGGTTCATATAGTGAACATTGATAATGGGTACAGCTCACCCAAAAAACAAACACCAATAAAGGACAACAAGTAAGAATAAGTGTAGAAAATAATACGGTAATGTAGGAAATATCTATAAAGATATGATAAAAAAAAATTTTTATGGTTTATCGAAATTCAATAAATATACAGATTAATATTATCACCTACCTCTATCACGACCCCAAGTTTTCCCTGTTTGTGCTTTTAAATTTGGGGTGAATTCACTATTAGATTCTTTAAACTCGGCATTTACTGATTTTTTTTGACGTAAAGACATTTTCAGAGTCTGAAAAAGTTCAATCTTCGATCTTCGGGGCATCCATTGCCATATATATACGAAACAAGTGCAAGAGTACTATTAGATAATCAAGCAGCAGAAATACAAAATTGGCAAAATCATGTGTTAATGAATCGATTGATTGATCGATCTAATTTACACAAATAATACATATGTACCACATGTAACGATGCTTTTCGATTTTTGATCAATGTCTATTACTAAAGCGGTGTGGGATCCGTATTAACATTAGACAAATATACCTTGAAGGTAAAAAAACGGATGAAAATATGAGAAACAAGCTCTACTAATAAAGCATGTCGGAATGGTAATTTACCCGTAGTTTCATCTCTAACCTTAAATTCTGTTAGCTCTAATCCTAATTTCATTTCAATATTGAACCATTACTTGTTTCGCTTTGACCTGGTGATAAAAAAAAAAAAACACTAATTTGCCCATCACTAGGGAGTATGGCACGGCAAAAAAATAAGGCATGCCACCTGACAAATTTCATGCCAGGATGCCACCAACATAGAGGGCTTTCATTCTTATTGGCTAATTTTTGTAGATCATCTGATGACGATACAAAATCTGATTGGCTAATCGAAACAAG